GAGACCTTGCCGTGCTCGCGGCCCGCGCCTTCAGCCCCCTGCGCCACATCGGGGGTTCACCATGGACACGGACACGCGTGCATGCGCTCAAAGGACCGGCCCTGCCCCTCGCAGATCCCGCCCGCCGAGGGTTCCCGCTAGCCCCGGGCCTCTCCAGGGGGGAACATTCTCCCCCACCCCGCCCCTGCAGCCGCGGAGAGGGGCGTCTCCTGCAGGGGGCACCTGACTGTTTCTGCGACGGACGAGCACCCACTTCCCACCCACCTCGTGCGCCCCCAGCGAAAAGCAGAGTCGCCTGGAAACCAACTCGGGCACAAGCGGTTCAGGCCCCAGTTCTGCTCAGGGGCCCCTTACACATCCGCACCGGAGCACCTCACCGATTCACCCCATGGAGCCCGGGGAGCCCCTTCCCGCGCTGCTGCAGCGTCCAGCACACCTGAGCCCTGCCGCCTCCTGCCTGGGTCGCGCCTGACGGCCCCACGGGGGCGGGGTGTGAGGCCAGGTCACAGCTCTGACCCACCTCTGGCGCCTCCCTGACTGCTCCCTGCACCCAAGATGGGTGGGGGATCTTCTTCCAGCGGCCTCGCTCTCCCCAACTCTTCCCCAGCTTCCCTGGAGAAGTGCAAATTCCTGGCCGCCGCCTCTACTTTAATCTCCTATTCTTCCTGGCCAGCCCCTGACCCGCAGCAGGCCTGTGCCCTTCTGCAGCCTCCCATCGCTCCCTGGGATCCCTGGGACACCCACACGCCCCCGCCTCCCTGGGCGTCCCCCTTGCCCCCCACCTCACCCCTGCGTCCTCCAATCCCCTCACTCTCTGTCAAAGTGATCTTCCTTCTTGGGGAGGTGCAGGAACTGTTGCTCATTTTAGTTCTTATTGTTGCAGACCACAGCGCCTGGCACACATCCCATCACCAGACCTCAACGTGGCCAACAAAGCTGCCTCAGGCACGTTAAAACCCAGAGCCCCTGCGGCAGCCCATCCTGAGCACCCCCACCCCCCAGCATGGCCCACCCAGGATCAGGGAAGGGCCCATTAGGGGCTGCAGCTGTCTGGATTTAATAAATGTTTAATTGGGTCCAATTATCATTAATAAGTCATGTCAGAGGGGTGGCTACCACCCATCACTTCCTAGCAGGCTCTCGAAATGGGGCAGGAGGAAACCCCCCCCCCGCCCCGGTCTCCAAGGAGGGTGGGTGCACCGGGAGCTGGAGCCAGCTGTTGCCATGGCAACAGCCCACCCCAGGCTCTGGCACTGTCTGTCTGGGTGTCCCTGCCCCCACCCCAGAAGGCTGAGTGAGGGCCATCAGCCTGCCATCCTTGCAACCTACCCATGCTCCCCGCCCCCCATCCCTGTCCTCCTCCCCAAACCTTGGCTGTGCCGCCACCCCTCTTCTGCTCCTCTCCCACCTCAGGTCCTGCAGCCAGGCTGCTCAGTTCTGCATTACCCACTGTGGGACTGTGGGCAGGTTCTCACCTGCCTGGGCCTCAGTGTCCCCTTCTGTGAATAGGAGCAATAGGACCTACCTCCCAGGATTCTGGGGTTAAATGGGCCAGTATCTGCAAAGCTTAGAGGGTGCCCAGCACACAGCACTCTGTGGCCCGTCTGCTGCCATCATAAGTACAGTCATAAGGGCTGCCATCACCACTGGCCTCCCACCGTCCCGGCTCAAACCAAACTCAAACCACATGCACCCCTGGCCCCTTCACTTCCCTTCTGGCTCCCCATCCTTCCCCTCAGCACCTCCCTCTCCCTTTGGCCCTGCCGTGTCCAAGGCCCTGGGACTCCCAGTCCAAATCCAACAGGCACCTGCCGATGCCCGACCAGCTGTTCTCCTGGGCTTCAGCTGGACCTGTGGACTAATGGTTCCCCCCAGGTCCCATCCCCACGGTCAAGGACCCAGTCCCCTCCCTACACCTGGGTTCCTGAGCCTTTCTCCCCTTCTGGTCACCTTGGCCCAGCCAGACCTCTCCCAAGGCCCCGACACCACGGCCAAGGGCACTGTTCCTGGATGGCTCCTCATCCACCAGGACCTGCAGCTCCCTCCATAGTCCAGCCCGAGGTCAGTCCTGCTGCGTCCCAAGACAGAGTCTCGGGGAAGAAGGTGATGATGGCAGCTCACCAGGATGAGCCGGGCTGGGCTGCCTGCAGGGGCATGGAGGTGCTCGGAGAGCAGGCTCTGGGGTGGGAGCCCAGAGATACCTTAGGGACAGGCTCTGAGCGACCAGCTGCTGGACCAATGTGGCAGGGCAGTGGAGAGACTCTGGGTACCTGGGGGGGACCTTGAAGCCGGGCTGAGCACTGGGCCCCCCATCCCCGTCTGGTGTGCAGGGCCAGGTTCTGGCCCCTACCCCTCTGCCTCCAGGGCCTCAGAGAGTCCGCTCCTCTTGGGATGTGGCCCCAGCTGTGGAGTGGGGGTGGATCTCCCTCACAGCGTCTGATGGTGTGACACTGCCATGTAGCCCAGAGTTTAAAGGTCACAGTGCTGGTCCCTCCCTCCTATCCCCATCCAGGCTGGAAACACAGCTGCCTCTCAAGAGTGAGCTCAGGAATCACCGCCTCCGGGAAGCCCCACACCCCATTCTCCACTCACACTGCAGGCTTAGGTGAGGGGCAGCTCCCATCACTGTGCTGAGTCCACCTCACAACTACTTGCTTCCCCACAGGCCTAGGGGATCACAGAGGCTCCACACGAGATCACCTGAAGACAGGTGCACCTGGTGACGGCACACACGCATCTACCCACCAGGCACAGAGCATCGCAGCAGCAAACCCAGAGACGTCAGGCCACTCGTCTCCCCAGCCAGCTGGCAGGAGGAAGGTGAGACATAGCTGAGGCTGCCTGACAAGGCCACATTGCTAGAAATGCCAGCGCTGGGCTCAGATGCATCCATGGTCCGGTCACCTGCCCACATGGCCCCTCATAGATGCAGGTGACACACCTAGGCCCCTGTGAGCCCTGTGTTCCCAATGGGTCATTTTTGGGGGTCCTGCCACGTCTGTCCTAGCTCCGCCTCCTGCAGGAGCCCCTCCCTGGCCACTCGGCCTCCCCACCCACTCTCCCGCAGCGTGACGGGTCCCCCCGCCATGTGTAATGCTGGAGGCGGCAGTGCTTTTTATAGGAGTGGGTATATTTAACTCCCTTCCTGGTCCTGGGTAGGCTGGGGGATGGAGAGGATGCCCCAGCCCTGCTGTGAGCTACGGCCCGTAACTATGACGGCAGTGAGGTAGCACGTGGGTCACGATGGCCTTGGCGTGGAGCCCTCCGTGACTGTGTGGCAGGGCGGGCTGTGGCTGGGTGCAGGGAGCAGTATGTAAAGAAAAGGAGACACTCCCAGCCTTCTGGGTGTCAGGAGAGGAGGCTGAGGATGCTAAGAGAGGGGACCTCCCACCGGAGGACATCTTTAAATCCAGATGGCTCCAGGCCTGTGGCTCACAGGTGGTGGAAACTCAGTTCTTGCCCTGGCCCTGCCCAGCCCCAGCCACCAGCACAGACCTGTCTCCTCCCCAGGACACAGCCCACTGGGAGGGTTCAGGCCCCTTCCTGCAAGACTCGGGTCCTTCTCTGAGTCCACACCCTCCTGCCCCCAGTCCTGGGGCTACCAGGAGGGAGAGGGTCTTCCAGCACAAGCCAGCTGCTCACCTACCTGCTCTCCCAGCCCATGTCCTGTCAAATGCCTCAGGTCACAAACCGCCCATGGTGCTGTGCTGCCCTGTCCCACAGGGCTCCTGAGTCTCAAGAAGGGGGACAGCAACCCCACTGGGAGGAGCCCCTCAGAGGCCTCAGTCACCTTGGCCATGCAGACCGGTCTCCTCTCCCCACAGTCCAAGAGGAGTCTGGCGCTCTGAGGAGCCTTTGGGATCTCGCAGGAGCGTTCTGGGGGGCGGGGGTTGGAGGGCCATCAGGGGCTGGGGGCCAACAGACAGGCTGCAGCGCTAGAACCCAGGGGTAGGACTGGTTTGCACAGCCACCATTCCCCATTCCCACTGCCCAGCTCCTCACCCCAGGCCCAGCGCTGCCCCAGCCCAGAGTCTCTGGGACCAGGAGTTGAGTAGCTCAGTGTGGAAGAACCACTGCCCACTTGCTGGTACGCGGCTTCAGGAGCAAAGCACAGCTGACTACAGGCCACGCCAGCCTGGCCGGCGGCTGAGGAAGCAGAGTGCCTCCATCTCATGCTCCTCAATCCAGCTCTGGTTCCCAGGTGCCCAAACTCCACACTCCCAGGAAAGACCCCACCCTGTCTTGCAGACCACTGAGAACCCCAAGCTGCCCCCACCCCTGCCCCCACCTCTCAGCACAGGTGGGTATCACAGGGCCCCCTGCCCAGGCCAGGCCACCTCCTCCAGCCATCATCCCCCACTCCCAAGACCTGGAAAGTGGCCCAGACAATCTATGCAGCCCAAGGCCCTGTCCTCAGGTCACCTCAGGATTTCCCCAGGTCATCCTCCCCACCCCGTGTCCCGATCAGGAAGGCCTCACAGTGCAGCCCTTGCACAGACAGTCCTGCACACGCGACTGAACGCAAGTGAGACCCACTGATGGGGCAGGTGCTGAGAGAAAACCTGGGTGCTCCCTCCCCACCTGCTGGAGAGGACCCCAGGTTTGGCAAGGGTGTCACCAGCCCTCCCGTCCGTGCTCCCCTGCGGCGCTGACCGCTTCCTCTCTTCCCCTCATACACCCCGATGACAGTAGCCCAAACACCAGCAGCATCCCCAGGAGGACAGGCCCCACCTCACAAAGCAGATCAACAAGGTCAGCCCGCCCCTCCATCACTCAGCCCGCCCCTCCATCACTTGTGCCCCTCCATGACAGCCTGCAGAGTCCCAGGCACAGACTGCGGCCTTCCAGGCCCCTCCCCAGATAGCTGTCACTGATCAGGCCAGGGCCCTCCCCCAGCCCAGCCTCCCCTCTGACCTCCTGTCCACTTCCAGCCTCTGTCCAGCCCCACCCCTTGCTCAACAGGGAGAAGGAAGGACAATGGAGCGGACCCCCTGACCAGACTCTGGCCCCACCCCACACATCTGACATGTCCTCACCACCCGTGGGTCCCAGGACTTGTTTCCAATTTTGAGGCTGAGAGGGCTGAGGCCCAGAGAAGTGAGAGTCGTGCTCCAGTGCCGCCAGGCCGGGGCCTCCAGACTGCGAGTTCCCACTGCAGCCTACCGCTGCAGACGCCCAGGACAGACCCAGGTGCCCTTGTCCAGCCTCCTCCGCACTCCAGACACACTCCACACATCTGGGGTGCACACCTCCAAATGGCCCTTGACTCCCAAGCGTGCCACAGCCCATCCAGGTCCCCCAAACTCAGCCCCACTCACCATCAGGAGGCGTCGGAGGCACTGGAGTAAAGTGGATCCCAGGTTTATCTGGAAGAAAACAAACCCCCAAGTTAGGCCCCTCTGAGCAGGCCCCTCCCTGTCCCATCCCTTTGCCCAGCCTGGAAAGGGGCACCCCTGCCCACCCACCTCCCTCCCCTCCCCATGGGATCCAGGCAGGGGTGCCGAAGGGTCCAGCCCTGACCCCGTGGGCTGGCTGAGGCCTGAGACGGAGGCCCCTGCTTTTCTCTGCCCCTACAGCCAAATGGTCATGGCCTGACTCCTATCAGATGGGGCCCCAGCCACAGGGGTGCAGGCAGGCCCCGCTGCCCTGGAAGAGTCCACTGCAAGCCCCACCTTAACCCCAGCTGCCGGCTCTCAGTGTAGCCGGGTGCCCCTCCCTCCCCAGCTACCGCAGGAAGTGTTTCTGCAGCTTTGGGAGAGGGCCAGGCCCACTGAGAGCCCAAGGACAGGCCTCCAGGGACCAAGGGGTCCACAGAGTGACCCATCCCATCCCCCTGAAGCTGCCGGCGGCGCCGCGGCCTCCAGCCTCTATGTGCAGGGACTTCGGGTTGGGGCTTGGCCAGTGCGGCGCCCCGCCCGTGGCCACCTACAGTTGTTGAGGAACAGCAGCACCGCGAAGCCGAGCGTGGCGGTGGCCAGCAGGATCAGGCAGGCGTTGCACGGGACCATGAAGCCTC